ACACCCCAGGGTTGAACAATGGCACGGCTGGGACCTTGCTGGGGTGTTGCCAGCCATACCAGTGAGCCCTGTGCCTTGCACTGGGATCCCCTGCCCCAGTGCCTGGGCACAGGGATAGTCACAGGTCAGCCTTTACTGGGTTCCTTGCCCTGAGAGGAGATGCTGCAAAGCTGCCTCACTTCTTCCTTCCCCCCTCTCTTCATACCTAGAGCTGTGACCTGGCATGTGGGCTCACCGATAAAGTCAGTCCTTTTCTCTCTGGAAAGGGTTTAAACAAAGCAGCCCTGAGCCTGGGCAGCCTCGGGAGCCCTCCCAAAGCAGCACAGAAAGGGTGAACCACTTTGCAGCCCGGACAGACAAAGCCTGGGCATCTCTGCTAGTGGAATTTGCTACAGGGCAAGATTCAGCAAAAAGGAAAAAAAAGAAAAAAAAGGCAAACCAAACAAGCCCAGAAAAACTAATGGCTGGGGCTGAGTGAAGGACAAAGTCTCCCGTGGTCTCGTGTCTCTTATGATGAATAAAGGTGGGAATTCACTGACAGGAGGTGCGCAGAACTGGTTGCACGTGAGCTGGTCCAGCGAGGGCACGGGGAGGGTGGAGGCTGGTGCCTTTTGGTGCGTGGCACTGCATGCAAGCTGCGGCCATGCAGAAGACACCAACCAGGGGACATCTTCTGAGGTGGTGGGAAAAGATCACACCAAATCCCACGGAGTGGTGTTCCCCTGTAAACCACAGACCTGGGTGCAGCAGCCTGTGGTACAGGGAACACTGCAGAAATGTGGCTTTGCTGTAGGACTGCGGGTGCTGCCAGGGTGTCCTTTGGGGACAGGTGCGTGCGTCCCTGTGTGTCACTCATGTTGCTGCCTGCCTCTGGATGTGCTTCTTGCTTTCGTACCTTGCTTATAGCCCCAGCTGCTTCAGGCATGGAGAGGAGCAGTGAATTCTTTTCACCATCCTCACCACAGGGGTTTCTGCCTGTGGATGCTAACCTGGTCCTGCAACATTTAGGGCACATTTAGGGTCAGACATGGGGTGCCCAGCCCCATATGTCACACTCCTGCCTCGCACTGCTCTCCTCCAACACATCCCAGCTGCTCTTGCCTGATGCTGTCCCAAGCACAACCGTAGCCCGGTGCTTGCAGCAGCGTGGCTTGGTTCCTCAGTACCCCACAAACCCAGGACGGGGCACCTGCCAGCACCACTCTGCAAGACGAAAGCCTCTGCTTTTAAACCATCCCCTGCATCACAGGGCTGCATCTCCCCAGCGAGCAGGTTTTTTGGAGGACGGGGCCGCTCATCTCCTGTGGTACCTGCCCTGGGCAAGGCTGAGTTTGGAGGAGAGCAGGTCACTCCCAGCAGACATGTGGTGGGTAATAACCCGGTAGGAAATGCTTGTCTTTCCTGGCTGCCTGACAAAGCCCAAAGACCTTTCATGCTAGAAAATTCTAGCTTGGAAATCAACATTTATAATTGTTTTAATTACATTTGTGATCTAGTAATTTTGAGGAGAACTGGGAGTGCTGCAGAGCAAATACTGTTATTACGCTATCACTTTTCAGCAGTCTTTCAGCACGGAGCCAGCAATTTTATCCCAGGAGAAGCTGTGAAAGGTGGTTATTAGCGTGCATCATCACCAGCAGCCAGGGTCCCTCCCGTCCCTGCAGCCTGCCTTCACCTCCATCACCCAAAATGCTGGAACTTAGCAGCTGTCTGACCTGGCCTCTCTGCTCCGGCTTGCTTTTGCACTAACCCATGCTCATTTTCGGTCTGCTTTTCATGAGTTGATAAAGGAGTAGCGGGGTTTTTGCTGGGCTGGATCACTGCCAATGGTGCTTTCTGGAGCATTTTCCAAAGTCGGGGCCTCGTGCGTTGTTCCCCAGCTGTGTCACACAGCACGGCAACAAGTCAAAAAAAACCACCCTCCAAGTGTTTGTGTTTACTGGGAATAACTACAGCCTGGCCTCCCTTAGCAACATGTAGTGTCACTTAATTAATATTGTTAAAGTGCACGGATGACCCAGGGTCCAAGGTGCAGGATCTCCGCAGCATCCTTTTGCTGTTAATTACCATTAGCCATAGTAGTAGCTCATTCCTGGCAATCCAGTCACCGGCTGTCGGGGCACACGGGCTCGCTGCGCAGGTTTGAGGTGTGCTCCTGTTTGCTCTTAATCGAGCACGTTTGCCACAGCTGTCCCTGGGTCAGGCAGATGTTCGTCCCAGGGATCATTCACTGATTTGCCAGGGAGAAAGCTGCCTGGACATTGATGGTTGCAAAAGGTGAACCAAAAGCAAGATTTCTTTCCTTTTCGGTTTACATTCCTTAATAAAGGAGAGAAGTGATGAAAAGGAATCTGATTTCCAAGAGCAGAGGTAAGGGGCACACAATGTGCAGTTGTCCTGTTGCACACGTCAAAATCAGCAGCATTTATTGAGTAAGGTTTTGAGAATTGGGAAATCCCACAGCTTCTCTGGGGGTGAAGGCAGGGAGCTAAAACTTCTCCCCCATCTCACTGAAATCCCATCACTGCTACTGTCAGCATTGCCTAACCTACTGCTGTGTTTGTTCGCTAGCAAAAATCCTGTGGAAAAGGGCTGTTCAACCTCACCTGCAGCCACCTTAACCTTACGGAGAAGGAATACTTCGGGCTGGAGTTTCGCAGCCAGGCTGGGAACCACGTGAGTGAAGGTCGCAGCATGGGGGCCCCAGTGCTGCACCACGCAGCATCCTTGCAGCAACCACCCGCATGGCTGAGGGCTTGCTATCACATCCCTGAAACACCAGATGGAAAATTTCAACAGAAAGGTTTTCCGTGATGCCAAAACCCCCTTGAAAGTGGGAGTTACAAGGGGAGCCACAAGCTGGTTGGCAAAGCCACGGCCCGTGGGGTTTATCTGTAGCCATCCATGCGGGGCTGCCCAGCGGGACAGCTTGCCACAGCAGCCGAGCTGGCCAGCCTTTTTGTCTTGCATTCTAGTGTGATGCTGCTGCTTTTATTCCCCGTCTCTTGCGCTGTTTACTCACCCAGTTCTTCTTTGCCTTATTTCAGGTCTGGTTGGAAGCACTAAAACCCATAACAAAGCAAGTCAAAAGTAAGTATTTCAAGAATAAAATTCTTCTAAATCACTATCAGTGACAGACACCACCATGCAGTGTTATTGCTTGGGGATGGGGGGGTCTGGTTTCCAGTATTTACCTGAGCTCATTTTATAGCATGAGGCTGGGCAGGATTGTGTACAAAGACACCACAGTTCATATAAAATACCCGTAGAAATACCACTGCCCTTGCAATCTGGTGTCTGCAGCTTGAGCTGTTAATAGCCTGACAACTCAGCAGAGGAGCAGGGGAGGTTGCGTGCGTGCGGCTGCGTGCGTTGCTGTGCTGGCAGAGCGGCCGGCATCGCTCCCTGCCTGCCCTCCTTTCCCCTTTGCAGCTCAGAGCAGCCCAGACGCCTGCGTGAAGCCAGGTTAGCCCTGTGCCTCGCAGGCTTTGCTGCTCCTCTCCGGCCCCCAGCACAGCCCCCTGTGCCACTGCATGGAGATGCTGTGGACCCTGACCTGAATTCAGGCTCAGCATCCCCTGCTGTGTCCACGGCCGATGATAACACAGTGCCCCTTTCAGCCTACGCCTGTTTCCACCCTGGCAAAGAACCAAACGATATTTTCCCCAAATACATGATGACTAGGAGGTGATCAAGTGTATGAGGCTACAACCCCAGTATTTGCCATGGCGAGGCTGCAGTACAGCATTTGTACGACTTTTCCTGTAAGAGGAAAGTCTGATAAAGAGCCTCGCCTTTCTGGGTGCACCAGAAGTGGAATTATTTCAGGCGCTGATTTCTTTTTCCGTGTCCCTTCTGGCCTGTCCCTCCAGGAGCCCCTGAGCCATCCCACGGTGTCCTGGGACAGTCAGTGCCTACAAAATCGCCTCCCTCCCTCCCTGCTCTTTGCCCTGGGCTTGGCTGCTTGCTCTCGCTCATCCCACGAAAAAGCTTTCCCCAAACAGCCTCCTACATAGCTGTTGCATCCCAAGTACTGAGTTTAATGTACAGCCCCACTGATGGCAATTACACGGGGGCTCTGGTCATGCTCCAGGCAAGTGCCTGGTACCGCTACACAGACCCCCCGCCCCCCACTTCTGACAGGGGTCTTTGTATTTTAAAGAATTGCTGGGGCACTTTCTCTTTAGTATTATTTAGGTGTCCAGCTCCCTGTTCACTTCCACTGGTAACACTGGAGGGTCTGGGCAGGCTGGTTTTTGGGGCAGGCTGGAGTCCCTGGTGTTCAAGGCTTCCAGCCTTGATTTGTAAGGGTCCAGAGTCATTCACTCTGTAAGGAGGCAGCGTATGTGAAGAGAGTTGTAAATGTTCTCAATAGGCACGTAAAAGAAAACTTATGAAGATGTTGTGTTTTAAGATCCTAAGGAGGTTCTTTTCAAATTTATGGTGAAATTTTTCCCAGTGGACCCCGGCCATCTGAGAGAAGAGCTGACCAGGTACAGTACTTGTTCTACTACTTTCTTACTTCACAGTCCTGTATTTTTGCAATCGTGAAGCATGCATCTAATTCCTTATCTTCATCCACCTGAACCTGTCTGTGAGCCATGGTTATGCTAAGTATTGAAAGAGCTCTGCACTTTGCAAAACAAAACCCAAGAGAGTATCTTTTCTTGATCCTCTGTTTTTAAACAAAATCCACTTGAAGGATCAGCTGTCTTAAGTGGCTGCAATTTGTTTACTGCCAAATGCTTTAGCAGTTGGGTGCCGAGTCTGACTTTGCTCAGTCTAGCTCCTGCCTCAAGCTGTATTCTGAAAGAACTACTTTAATTTTTTTTTAAAAAATGACATTGTTACCTCTTATGTTTTAGAGAAAGAATTGCAAACAGGAACTAAGAATAAAACTAAACAGTTCTTCTGCAGAACATTAGCCCCGAGAGACGCAAATGCCCTCCAAAGCATAAAGGAACGTTAAATCTGAAACCTACTAACGGGCATTTCAATGGCACGGGTGTACTGGTCATGGTGGTGCCCAGCTGCAGCCTTCAACAGGGGCTGCATGCTCCTCCCGTGACGCCGCGGCCCTGCATCCGTTGGGTTGAAACGTGAGAGGTGTGGTGACAGCCAGCCCCCCTGCAGCAGAGCCTTCACAGCTCAGCCCAGCGCCCGGCTCTCTGCTGAGCCTGGCTCCCCGCCTCCAGGGCCTGCTCCTGTCCCCCTCCACAGGTACCTCTTCACCCTCCAGATCAAGAAGGACTTGGCACTGGGACGGCTGCCCTGCAGCGACAAGAGCGCGGCGCTGCTCGTCTCCCACCTGCTGCAGTGTAAGGGCAGGCGAGTGCCCGCAGGGACGGTGCCCCACAGGGTACTCAACGGGACTTTGGCTGTGGAGCCAGGGGTTCCCCCTACAATGACCCTTCACAGCCTCACCTATGCTCTCCCCATGTCCCCTGCAGCCGAGCTGGGCGACTTCCACGAGGAGACGGACCAGCAGCACCTGGCGACCCACAGGTACTTGCCCAACCAGGAGTACTTGGACAACAAGATCATGCACTACCACCGGCGACACGGGTAAGGGCTGCTCCACGCCACGGCTGCCCACCCAAAGCACCCGATGGGCACCTGCTGATGGGGCTGTACCCATTAGCAGGCAGGGCCAGCAGTGGGGTGGGCGCGGAGGAGACGGACCAGCAGCACCTGGCGACCCACAGGTACTTGCCCAACCAGGAGTACTTGGACAACAAGATCATGCACTACCACCGGCGACACGGGTAAGGGCTGCTCCACGCCACGGCTGCCCACCCAAAGCACCCGATGGGCACCTGCTGATGGGGCTGTACCCATTAGCAGGCAGGGCCAGCAGTGGGGTGGGCGCGATGCCAGCATCTGCACATGCAAATAGCATTTTTTTGTCAGCCCATTTCAGCAGCTGCTTTCTCACTCTTGTCGCTTCCTGATGCATTTGTGTCTCCAGCGGGAAGACGCCGGCTGAGTCAGATGTTCAGCTGCTGGATGTGGCCAGGAAGCTGGAGATGTACGGGATTCGCCCGCACCCCGCCAGTGATGGCGAAGGGACACAGATCAACCTGGCCGTGACACACATGGGGGTGCTGGTCCTGCGGGTGAGCCTGGGGCTTGGGCTGTACTGGATGGCCTTTCCCCAAGGACATCACCTCCAGTTGTGGTCCCTCCCTTCTCCCCCTTGCGTGCACCAAACCCTCCCAAATCCTACAAGAGGGAGCTTGCCCTGGCAAGTGATGCTCCAGGACACGGCTGTGGGGCTCAGCCCCGTTGCCTCCATCAGCATTGGAGGTGCTGCCCTGCAGCGACACGAGCACGGTGCTGCTCATCTCCCTCCTCCTGCAGTGTAAGGGCAGGCGAGGGCCCGTGGGGACGGTGCGTGCTGCCATGCCCGCCCTGGGTCTGTTGGCTCTTGTCACGGCGAGTGCGGCTGTGTAAGCACCACAGGTTGCACTGTTGCATCACATGTGTTCACCGTATAATCTTCCAGTGAAAATAGCCACCTCATGCCTGCGCAATTACATAATGCTGTAATCACGGCGTAGCTGCAGAATAAATACAGACTGCCTCGCAGCCGGCATGAAGCAGCGCTTGCCTCCCACACTGGCTAATTTGAACCTGGGAACATCTTGCCAGAGCAGAAGAAAAAAAAAAACCAACCAAAAGTCCTAACTGTGGGTCTGCTGCTCATAATTGGTGCTGCCAGACCTGGTTATTTATTCAGAGCCATAAACACGCCTCATGCATGATTAGAGCATCCGTGAGCCCATTAAAATCTGGGCTCTCCCAGAAAGCTGAGAGGGTCTCGTTGCCATAGCATGCAGTAACACAATTTTACCTGGTCCCACCATGGCACCAGTGTCGTGTGACTGCACCTAAATTGATGTGTCATGATAACGAGGGGTAAAGTGTGCTTGCAGCCTGCTTAAGCTGGGTCTAAAGGCATCTTAGTGAGCTGAGCTCTGCTACCCTTCCCAGCAAAGGAGAGGAGGGTCTTACTTCTTTTGAAGGGCTGATTCTACATTAACTCCTGTAATGTTCGAGCTGGGACAGATGGGATTCCCTGCCTTGATCTCTGTGAGGTTTCTCTTGGGATCCTGGAGTTTTACAAATAGCTTCAGGAGGCAGAGTTAAGCCCTGAACCTCAGTTCCCACATTTGGGGACTTTTGGTCAAGCACCAAATCCTGGCACCCCCTTCCCCAGACCTTGGCAGCAACGAGAGCCATGTCGGGGTCCTGTGTAGTGTCCCACAGCTCAGGCCTTGGCCCATTGTGTGTCTGCAACCCTCACTTCCCCCACCCTGCTGTAACTGCTGTGTCCGTCCTTGCAGGGCAATACAAAGATCAACACGTTCAACTGGTCCAAAATTCGCAAACTGAGTTTCAAGAGGAAGCATTTTCTCATCAAGCTCCACGCAAATATCTCTGTAAGTACCGCATTGCAGGCAGCTGCCAGGCTCAGGAGCAAGGCAGCTGTGGACTGAAGATCAGCCACACAAAGTCCCTGATTTTAAATAAAATCTGTGTCTGCGGCTCATGGGTGATTCTCCTTACCTCTTGAGCACGGCATGTGCCACCCCTGTGTCCCCAGAGGCCGGAGCCGCCGGCAGCCCAGAGTGATCTTTTGGGAGGGGGTCAGGAGGGCAAACGGCCGAGCCTGGCCCTGTGCCCCTGATGCCAGCCCATTCATCTCTGGCCGTGCAGGCGCTGTGCAAGGACACACTGGAGTTCACCATGGTGAGCCGGGATGCCTGCAAGGCTTTCTGGAAGATGTGCGTGGAGTACCATGCTTTCTTCAGGCTGTCTGAAGAGCCCAAGTCAAAGCCCAAAGCCCTTCTGTGCAGTAAGGGCTCCAGTTTCCGCTACAGGTAAAGTCTCAGGGGGAAAAACCAACCACATGAGGCCAGGAAGGGTGTGGGGATGGCTCAGAGCCTCCCTTTTATGTCGGACCTGTCTGGGTGCAAGGGGATGATGCTCAACAGCTGCTTTTCCTGGAGACATCAAGCTGCTTTTCCTGGAGACATCATTGCCTCCATCCTGCCACATCCACTCACCTCCCCTGGGATGTGGGGGTGCCCAGGGCTGGGGCTGATGGTGCTGCTCACATCTCTCCCCCCTTCCTGCAGTGGGAGGACACAGCGGCAGCTGCTGGAGCATGGGAGGAAGGCGAAGATGAAGAGCCTGCCCTTTGAGAGGTACTGGGAGGCATGGAGGGGGGCAGTGCCTGTTGCGGGGGTAGGGAACCCTGCTGGCCACGCACCCATCCATGCTCTTGGCCTTGCAGGAAGCACTATGCATCCCGCTATGATGAGAGGCAGTGCCGCTCCTCCCCGGACCTCCTGACAGATGTCTCCAAGCAGGTATTTCCCCTTGGCATCAGTGAGAGATAACGCCAGGGCTGGAGGAGGGATGGGTCTTGGCATCATGGCCCCAGCTGGCAGAGCTCGGCTAAAGGCCAAGCCAGACCCTCAGCTTTGCAGGCTCACTCCCGGCCCTGCTTGCCCTGTTTTGCTCACTCTGCCCGCCCGGGGCGGGGGGGGTCTGGGCACTCACCCACCCTCTGTCCCTGCTCAGGTGGAGGAGCTGCGCCTGGCCTACGGCAGCCGGGGCTCCTACCCTGCCACCGGGGCGGCCACCTCAGAGCCCACACTGGACAGCCAACGCCGGAGCTCCGCCGTGGAGGTGATGTTTGCTGCCGAGCTGGAGCGCTCCAAGCCCGAAGCATCCCCTGCCTTCCTGCCCCACTCCAAAAGCTCGTCTGCCTTCCCCCTGCTCTATGCCCAACTGGAGCTGGAGCGGGCATGGGAGCCCATCGACCTCTTTGGTGCCAGGAACCCCTTGACATCCTTTCGGCCCCACCACCAGTTCGCTGGGAACAGTAAAAGCACCTCAGTGGGCAACATGCGGGAAGTGAGTGCCCGGCCACTGGTGTACATGGATGTGCCGTGCCCCCCACCCATGGCTGCCCCGGCCCCGCAGATCCTCTACTACCTGGACCAGCCACCACAGCCCCCGTGCCATGTGCTGGCACCCGGCAAGGACACAGCCAGTGCATGCAGCCCTGCAGCTGCAAAACCCCTCAGACGGAGCCCAAGTGGGACCTGGGCTGGGGAGTTTCATCGTGAGGCTGTGTGCATGGCAGCAAGCACAAGTGTGGTCCCAGCAGGGGAGAACAGGTTGCTGGCTCGCTCCTTTGATTATGGCCTTCAGGAGCAGCCACCCAAGCGGTCTTGGAGCCAGTCGGACATGAAAACCATCCGCTTCCCCTATGGCTCTGAGTTCAGGCCCCTGGGGCCATGTCCCATGCTGAGCAGCCGCAAAGTCTTTCGGCACGTGCCGGCACAGCAAGGGCTGGCACTGGGGCCGCGGCACTCCGCCGAACGCTACGTGGGCAGCAGCACTGAGTCCAGTGATTCTGACTCAGACCTCCTGGCTGCCGACTACTGCTCCCTGTACGGCCGGATGCTGCGGTCGCCCATGGCCCGGGTGCGGCTATCCTCTGGCAGCCTCCAGCTGGATGAAGAGGATGAGGAGGTGTCCTTTGCCACCAGTGCTGCTGAAGAGAGGACTTCCAGGGGGGCCTCCAGGTATTTCACCTAGGTGCCTAACAGTGGCCAGAGGGAGCAAAGGTGGCTGACACGGACCTGGGGCTGCAGAAGGGTGACACTCTTGCCTGCAGCTGCTTACTGCTTGCAAAACATTGATGGGCTTGTGTTGTGCGAGTGCTTTTAGCTATAGAGAATGTGTTGATGGACAACAAGGCAGCATTCAAAAGAAGTATCCATCCCCTGCACCACGCTCAGAAGCTGGCGTGTTTCTGCTACCACGCATGGGGGTTCTGCTCCAGCCAAAGGGGCCAGGGCTCTCCTAAAGCCCTGCAAAGACCCTGTGTCCTGCTCAAGTTGGTGGCTGCTGGCCATGCTTGGAGGTCAGCTGCTGAAGTTTTCAGTCGGGGGGGAGGGAG